GGAGTGGTCCTACATTTTCCCTAGTCTTCTTTTTGTTGCTGACATGTCTACAGAAGTCTTTCTTATTGTCCTTAACATCCCTGGCTAGATTTGATTCCAATAGGGCTTTAGCTTTCCTAACCTGATCCCTGGACGTTTAGTACTGAAACAAAAGTACTGGAAGTTCCAATCTTCCAAGACTAAACCAAATCCAAAAAATCAATCAAATTGATAAAGTTGTGAACATAATTGCAGTTTAGTACTATTACAAGCAGCATTAAGTCTCATTATAAACAGATACTTTAAGGTCCTCTTAGTGTTCTTCTTGCCTCTAATTTTAGCTGACGCTATGTGAAGTACCTTTTTTGAGATTTTTAAAGAGAAGGTTAACATTTGCCTTGCTATAAACAAATATTATAAATACTTATTGCTTGCCTTTGACAATTCTCTGTACTTCAAGTCAAACTTCTTTTCCAGTTGCTAAAAATATTGTTTGAAAAAATTAAATTTTGTTCAGGTAATAGAAGTCCAAGACATCTAATTTTCCAAAAGCCTTGCACATGACCATAATTCATGGAAACAAGATTCTTCTCACATAAATAAAATATGAATTACATTTTCTCACAAATAAACTATTTGTCTTTCTATTTTGTGCACAAAATCAAACTGCTCCACAAGCCTGTCCTTCACTGGCATACTTCAGTGGAATTAATTCCCCTGGGTTCCTTCATCAGATTTGTTCACTTTGTTCCGGAACATGAAGTTCAGTTCAGAATAACAGAAGCAGAGGAGGAGCTTTTCTTCCTTAGTTTTGCAGTAAGTAACTAGGAAATGTTTTGTTGCCACAGGCACATGAAGTTTTGTGGGCTTTTCCAAACGAAACATCGATTGTAGTGTTGCCTGTGATTTTCAAGGGACTGGATTTTCCTGCCAGGCTTATTAGCCTCTGCTAGGATGCAAGATAAACTCATTTCTTCCAAAGATAAGGTACAGTTCTGGCTCTAGAACACTTGTAATTTAAAGCGGAATGTTCCCTTCCAGATGAAGAGAAGTCCCAAAATCTGAGAAAAGTGTTCACTCTTATACATCAATATATCAGAGTTTCAAGAGCGACTTCAGTACAATACAGTGAAGAAGAATCTGTTTCAAGACCATCATTGGGAAATATATAGACACCTTAGTATGTGAAACAGGAAAACTTATTTGCTTGGAGACTGTACAACAGCTAAAATGCAAGCCAAATTTACAGCCAATTAGGAGATAACATAGATATTTATCCATTAGCTGATATGCAACAACTGCCAGCACACATAAAAATTAAAATCTTCCTAGAAGCTTTCTTCTTCAAGAATATTTTGTGCTCTTCCTGACTCTGCCTCCCCAGAAAGGAAATACTTCCAAAAGAATGCTCCATTTAATCGTAACTAGTGGACACTGAAAAAAAAAAAATTCTTATATGTATCTTTTTAATTTTATATTGTTTCATTTATAGAGTCAGCTTGAGATCTAATAACGTGATGCAGATTTCAGCTGTACTCCAAGTGCATAGGATCTGCATTTGTTACACAGAGGACATTGCAAGTTCTGTTGTGTTGAACACACTAAAAATGGAGAATCACAGACAGTTTTCATAACTTACAGTCTTGCTATCTCTGCACTTTGTCTTAAATCCTCTTATGTGGCAAATTTTTCCCAGTCTTGCTGGCTGTCTGGAGTATTAAACATAGAGTCTAATAGTAACAGTCTTCGAGTTTCTGCCACAAAGACATAACTTCAAACCACAAGTTCAGGTGTTGTTCAGGTGTCATGACATGAAAAGTGCTTTGGGATATTGCTCTGAGTGTAACCACAGATGAGACCAGGTAGGCTACAAACAACAGGCAGTTGACTCCTGGTAACATCAGGTGGGGAGAACAAGTTTTGGACAGTGTTTGGATCTCATGGCAATCTGAGATCCAACGTCAGTAACTGCAGAAATATTTTCAACCAAAAGAAAATGGGGTAGGATAAAACCTTCAAAAATTTGTTGCATAAGTGTTCACTCCTTCTTTTAACAAGCTAAATGGAAAAAATTTCACTGAGCCATAATCTACATAACCATGGCTGCTCTGTATTTTGCAGGTAGACAATGACTGGAGGCTCAGGGATAGTGCTGGCAAAGATAGTGGGACAGTCTAGGAAGGTGTAGGCAGATGCTGTGTTACTGGAGGGCAGTTTCCTCTGCCCTTGAAGTAGAGATGAAAGGAAGGAAATCAAAGGTATATTTGTAGGATGGATTTTGTATCTTAAATTCTTGTCTTAGGTGCCCTCAGTGTCTTAGATGCCCTCAGTGTATTAGGGTGAGGATGAGACTGAGGCATGGCTGATGAAAAGGAGGAATGAGTCCAGCTGCTGAGTGAGAAGTTTGTGCTCCACACAGACTGTCTGGTTTCTGATGTAGGTTTGGGACCATGGCAGTAGACTGCCACCATCCCCAGCTATTCCTTGAGGCTGCAGCATAGACAGGGCAGTGGGAAAACTCATAAGAGAGGATGGACATCTGGGATGAGGGTGGGAATGTTCTTGCCTCTGGCCAGTCTACTACTGATATGGCCTAGATGGTCAGGGTTTGTGGCTAGTTCCTTTGGAGGCCAAGTCCTTGTTGCAAACCAAAGTTCTGATAATGCAGTGACGGGAGATGAGCTCTGTCTCCTAGGGCCTATGAACGACTACTCCCCTTCCTCTTTCTCCTGGGCCTGGAGACACTGCAAGGAATGTTGACACCAGCCAGTTCCCGAGTCTTATGTGTAGGTGACAGTAGTTAGATGAGGGAGAAAGGCAGTCATGTCCAAGTTGTCCTGTTTCCTCTAGGCCAAGCCACACTTGTTCCAGGACTACCCTGAGCTGCCCCATGCTGGTGTGGTAAAAGAAAGCAGTAGCTGGCGGCCTCATGTGGGGCCTGCTGTAGCCGTGACCATGTGTACCCTCCAGCCTGGGCTTTCACATTTGTCTCTTTACCAGCCCTAGCAGTCAGCATTTCTACAAGACAAAGAGTCTTTTACAAAGGACTTTATACATAATTTCAGTGATATGTTTTACTGTTGAATTTTGGATTTTGACATGAGTCTGTCCTGAATGTTCCTTTCTGCAGTGCTAAATATATAGTGTTTTATTCAATAACCACATCTTTATGTTTAGAAGCTATGAAGTTAATTTTTTATTGTATGCAGTTTTTTAAAAATTTGAATTTGGAGAACTTAGTCTGAACATGGAGACCGCATCTGTAGACTTGGAGTGAACTTAAAAGATGCAGTGACTTCTAACGTGGTGGATGCTACTTAGCTCTCTTAACTATGTTTTAGGAAAGCAGACAGAAAATAGAGTTTTGAGGTAGGTTGCATTTAGTAGGTATTTTATGTGCTGCAGTGTTAGCATAAGAGCTGCCTAAATCACAATTTTCTGTCCCCTATTGTTTATCATTTTGGAATTAATCAGCTGTTTGCACAGGGTACTATGGTGCTGTAGGTGTTTTGTCTTGCCTTCTTTTTAATATTGTATGGTTTTTTTCTTTTTATTTTTCCAGGTCTAACAGACATTTCTTGCTGTCCAGCTTTATATTTGTTCTACTTTTGATGGAAAGGAAAAAATTCTTGTTAAAATAAAATGTGGGGTTTTTTAAAATCTGGAATGTGCTTTGTATCTGAAACCCCTTCTGAACCTGCATTTTATCGATAAACAGTTTTAAAAAATAACTATATAGGTTTGAAAAATTTTCATTTTAGTATCTCTTTTCTCATTTAAGATATTTTCTTTGCTTAGCTCTATAGAGGTTTTCAGGTTCATTTTCTCTTTCTTATAGCTTTATCTGTAAGCCTAAATCCACCTGAATATGTATGCTTTTGTCCATATTTCATATATCTTGAAATTCTTATCTCTCTTAGAGTTTCATCAAAGTAAATTCTTCTATTCATCTATGAATTCTCATACATTTTATCTTTTCCTCTCCTTGTTCTAACTGTGCCTTGGTGATAGCTTCATGGCTGTCTCTTACTAAATATTCTCTCTCTGACACAGCTAAATAACTCCACTGAATTATTGTGACATTAATTCCTCACCATATGCTCTGGACTGCTTCAGGATGTTTTGCTGTTGAAAACTATTCTGCCTTAAAGTTTTGTGAGTTTTGTATTATTTTAGCAAGGACAATTCAAAATTTTCGCAGTAGAATTTCGTAAACGACAAACTGCTTTGTAGCGTCCTTCCAGAGTGGCTAGCTGACTTCTTGGAGGTCTTTTAATTTTCTTTTTCATATTTTCTTTTTTGAATCCTTTCTCTTGGTATCTTTAGAATGTCATAGCTGAATCAAAGTTCTGTTACTTTCTGTGAAGATTATTATTTTGTTAAAGCAAACTGGCCCAAGGACTTCCAATGGGGAGCTGGCAAGCTCACCAATTCACTGTGCTAGGACAGACCTTTCTTTGGGGTTTTGAAATAAAATACCTGTCTTTTCTGCCACAACAATTTTGTGTTATAAAATACTCTTGAGTCACTAAAAATAGCTTTTGATTGAAAATATCTTCTTTTGGACTCATACTCCACAAAATTATATTGGAAACTTAGAGAACACTAATTGCATGATTTTAAGGAGACCGGATGTTACACTTTTCCAGCAAAAAACCAATTACATGTCCATATTTTCTACTTTATCATAGACCTTATATAAAAAGTGCAATTTAGAAGCAAATGTTCATTTCATTGTGATTTAAATAACAGAATGTTCAAGTAGCATACACAAATTGAAATTACTGATCCAAATGAGTTGGCACAAACTTATCTCTAGGGTAATGCAATACTTGATACAGAAGTTTTATATTTGAATTTCTCTGAAATGACAAAAGATAGATAAGATGCAGTTATTTTTTATTTGCATAAAAATTCTTAGTGAAATTAACTTAATAGTATTTCTGGACATCTGGTTGACAAAGATTTCTGTGCATACTTAATTTTTATGCATTCTTTGGCAGACCTCTGAAAATCACTGCCAGTATCCTACAAGCATGGTATTATTTTGGGCATAATTATTGATATTTTTAACTCTGCATACTGATGTCGCACAACACCCCATAGGTGTGCTTCTATAATCCTAATTTTTTCATGTTTACCAGTTCCAATTTGACCTGGCACAGCAGAACATCTTCTTGAATGTACTCCGTAATTCTGGGCTTCGGAATGCAAAAATCATAGGGTCGATGATTGCATTGCACATTATGAGTGTCCCATTCACATGGAAAATGGACATGTAGCAGGCACAGTAAGGGTTATGTGGACAAAATCTTGCTAAGAGGATGTGAAGAACAAAGGGGGCCCAACAGCAAAGGAAAACTCCAAGGAAAATAGTCAGTGTAATGGCCCCTTTCATGTTAGTTCTCTGATGCACTGTGCTGGTTGGCAGTGAAGCGATCTTTTTAGCATGAGATCGAGCCAGTAGGAACATATGGACATAGAGGCACAGTATAAAAAACATCATTAAAGGGAAGAGGATGGTGAAGGGAATGACTGTTGCTGCTTCATAGGAGAAGAGGGCAATAGCAACGCTACTGCCAGCACAGAACATCCAAATAATTACCAAGACAGCCAAGGCCCTTCTTAGTGTCATGATATTATGGTACCGCAAAGCATAGAAGATAGTGATGTATCTGTCTGCTGCAATAGCTAACAAGCTGAAAATGGACCCCAGTAAAGACAAAATGAACATGGAATCCATAGCATCATCCAGCTTTTTCTCAAAGTCCCCACGACGTGTCAGGTACCCCATTTTGCACAAAATGATAAAAATGTTCTCCAGAGTTTTGTACAAGCTACCTAACATGTCTGAAATAGCTAAACTGCAAATAAAGAAGTACATGGGCAAATGCAAATTCTTATTTCTAACAACAGCAAGAAGGACAAGCAGATTTTCCAGTATTCCAGCAGCAGCAACAGTGAAAAAAACTTCTTCTGGCACCACGACCTGGATGCAGTCAGTGATATTTAAGGAGAATTCACTTATATTTTGGAGGGAAGGAATACTTGTCTGCCCTGGGTGTTTGATTAGGTTGGAAGGTCTTCCCATGCCCATTTCTTCTGTTTATGGAAAGATTCTGGATTGCTGTTTTTCAGGCTTGGCTTTATTCTGAATCTGACCTGTCAGTCAGACCATTCTTCTTTTGATGAAGGCTCTCTACTTCATCTAGAGCAATTTTAAGACTTAAACAAAATGTTTGGAGTTTCTCCTACAATAAAACATGTAGATACAAAACATCAGGAAGAAATTACCACACAGATAGGACAAAAAGAGACATTTGGAACATTACCTATTGCACTGGAATGAACGTATCACCAGAGACAGGCAGTTGGTTTGGACAGAATAAGAGTTGTTCCAGGTTTCGCTGAGCCTTAGGGGAAAACAAAGTGTAAATTCTCTTTTAGCTTCAAAGCAGTTTTAAAAAATATATGTAGTTTTTACCCATGAGCAACCCATGTTTACTGGAACTGATCAGACAGACTTCAAGAGTTTGGCAATCTTTACTGACCCAGCTGTTTGCTTTGAGAAAGTCTGGCATTTCTCACAAGATTTGCAGTACTGTTAGTCACAAATAAGACCAATGCCAAGATAAATTGTTGTCCAGGACAATAACATGTTTACTACCACACTGCTGATGGTGAAATGAAATGCCCTCAATTTAGATGTGAACATTTATAAATGTTGATGTTTTCAGAGGCACACTGGATACTAGTGAGTGGCTTCCTTTTCATTTAAATTGAAACTGTCTTTTGATTTGATGACATGTTTCTAATGCAAAATATAATCTTTTCTTGGCTGTATTTTATGACTATCTAAAGACAAAATGTTTATTCGAGCATCAACATGATGTTTTTCTTTCTCCATAATGATCCTGGTCTCCTATATGTCAAAGCATATAGGAGATTTACCAAAGGATTAGGCTTTTTAGGCTTTTCATTTGCATATAAATGGATATGTTAGTAGTTTACCTTGGATATTACACATAACAATAAGACCCACTTTTTCCTGTCAATTTTACACCTTTACTTGTGAAACACAGATACAGTTGCTATTGGGAAATCTCTATTTTTTTTTTTTTTTAAAAAAAAAGGAACTGATATATTCTCCCTCTCTTTCTAAGTTTAAAACAGGTTTGTCTGACACTTTCATAACACTAAATCTTGAAATTCCTTTGGATATTTGTTCATAGTCATAGCTGTTGAATGCCATAATACACTCTATTGCTGCTTCAAGAAAGAAGTCAGAAGTTTTAATTATTTAGGATACAAACAATGTTCTCTGCAAGTGTCAGTGGGTATCTGTACTCAGAGGAGCTGAACTGCTGTTTGAATGTGATTAGTCTTGATCCAGATGAATGTGTTTGGTTATTTTTCAATGAAAAAGAGTTTTCTGCCCTAGGTTTGCTAACGTTATCAGATGAGATTATCAGTAAGGTGCTACTTGGGGTGAAGAATGCTGAGGCTTGGACCACTAGCCATCACAGATTCAGTAGAAACAAGCTCACTTAAAAGAAAACATTCCAGAGAGTAATCATACTTATCTGAAAACAAAGGCTGTGCAGTGGAATAAATGAACTATATTACACTGCAGCATGTGTGGGCATTCCCAAAGAAAATTAGGTCAACATCTGCCAGTATGTGAAGGAAGAAGTTACTAATGAGAATAAGAGACTCAGCAATGTCTTTGCAATGATGTGTTTTTCTTATTTGCACCTAGAGCTACTGTCACCATGAAGTTTTATGATTTCTAATCTATGAATATGTTTAACAACTCAGTTTTCACTTTTAATACAAAGTCAGTGTGGACCCTTCAGAAAAAGCCTCATTCCAATGGAATTTAAACAGGACAATCAGTTGGCAAAAATGCATTTATTAAGTCACTATTCTCTCAGAATTGTTTTCCAGTAATGCTTTTTTGCTGATATAGTTGTATTGCTGAACTAATCTCCTTGACACAGCTGAAGGTTCCTTCACTGTAAATACATTTTATTATGAATGGCGTGATATATTAAGTACAACATTTGGCTAGAGCAGAGAACTTACAAGGGCTTTAGTGCAGTTGCAGTAAACTCATAAATTATGTTACATCACTTAATTTTTTTTTCCACACAATTATTAGAAAGACAGAAAAAATACATACTTATTTCAGAAATTTTCATTTCAGCATGTGTATATGCCTATTGCACATTATTTTACTGAGGTTTCATCAAGGATCTTGACAATTATCTCCTCTTCTAATGCGTCAGTGTGGTGCACAATCATATTTCCATTTCAGACCTCCCAGACAGAAATACCTGTACATACAGTTGTACACAGGTAGTAAATCCAGTGTTTGATCTATGCAATTGTATCATACATCTGCAGTAAGTCACACATTTACAGGATTCTTTCACTGCTACAGACCTACCAGATAGTGTCCATGAATTAATTTAATCCTTCTAAGCAGTGAAGGACAGACAGACTACAGATGTGATGTAAAGATGTTGTAAACTTGATGAGTAACACCAGTGTGTCCTAGAAGCTAACAGAAAAAGAAGACACTTTGGAGTTTGGATGTATATTTCCATGGGCAACAGAAATTAGAGCCAATGTCATTTCACACAAAGCTATAAATAAACACCAGGTGAAAAAAAATATTTACCCTCCTGTGTTGTTTGCACTAGCAGAGACAGCTTGGATGCAACACATTTGCTCTCCACTGTCAATACTTTGCCAGTTTGCTTCATCATTGTATTGTCTGTATAAAAGGTACATGCCACTCACCAACACCAACACCTATGAAAGACCTCAGATTTATCTTCTGCATGTGTCTGTAAAGTCAGCCTTTCACAGCTAGTATTTATGTGTCAGAATTGTCAAAAATAGAACAAAACAACTTAAGAATAAAGGAGTGCCTTATACTACAATCATATTTTCCTGGCAATTGCCTGAACTGATTGGATTTTAGCTTTATTGAGGTCATTCACAGTCTGAGAATAAATTTGCCTCACTGTAGGAAGAAATATAAAACAATCAGAAAGCAATAAAAGACAAAAAAGACCCTTTAAGTCTCAAACACATTTGCAAATGTGGCTATATCACAAAAGCTGCAAAAACCTCAACCCATTTGTTTTCATGTTTAAATTAGGTCCTGGAGGGAGGAATCATCAGCTCAGTAACACTGGATATTCAGAAATATTATTTATCTTGAAAGAGGCAGTCTGCTGAGCTGGAGAGGGGAATATAATGGACAATGAGCTGGTGGCAGTAGTAAAGTTAATAAAAATTCCATACATTTGAACATTTTCAGCAATTTCTATTTGATTTGGAGTTATCTAAAGCAAGACGAAGCAGGAAACTTGGAGAATGGATGCCAGGACCAGAAACTATACTGACAGTATTGCACTAACTTAGGAAACAAATAGAATTCAGATTACCTGTCAATGGTGTTCATTAACCATGATTATGGTTTGGCTCTTTACAACGCATGAACACTGGCTTGCAATGCGTGTTCAGATTGGTGTATATTACACAGCTAAAAGTCAGCCCCTATGCTTCAGTTTGTGACAAGGCTGAGAGTGCATCCACAGCTGCTGGGAGCTCCCAGCACCACTCAGAATCAGCCTTCAACAAAATGAGTAATTTTCTCCTGTGTATCCAGTACCTATAGATTACAAAAAATTCATTTTTCTCTACCGTAGAAATGCAACGACTTAGTACCTGAAAGGTCTGGAGTAATAGCTCTGTACTTGATTTTGTTTATTTTTTATTGGATGAAAACTTATTTATTAAATAAACAAACAACACAATTCCCTCAATCACAAAATGTTAAATAAACTGTCCTGGTCAGCTGTAATAGCAAAAAAAGTAATTTCAGCTGTGAGCTATAATGATAAGAGACAGTAAAGCAATTATAGACTCTAAATACCATATGATTTCCCATTTGTTTTGCCTCTATTAATTTTTTACTAGAAAACCGTACCTCTCTTTATTGCAGAGTCCCTAAGCTGTATTTGCTCTTTAAACAGCTGACAGTAAATAAAAACTGAAAGGATATTGAGTAGTGTCTTCTGATTTTGGATTGCAAAAAACATCTGAGCGAACTAGCCAATTATATAGGTGCAATGATTTGTTTCTAGAACTATCAAATGTATTAATTCCCTGTGTTTCAGACATAGTGTATACAGTATACTTCACAAACTATTAAGTATACAGAAGTACTATTTGTTGCTTGAAATCCAGAAAAGTCTCCAATGTATTAGCAAATGCCTTCTGATGTCATTATATCTAGCATTTAACCCCCAAAGCTATCCAGCATGTAAACTCTCATTGGTTCAGATAAAAGCACCTCAGGCCCTGGGTAATTCATTCAGCTTGGTTCTCCTAAAATTAGGTCATAGTGGAACATTAAGCCCTTTGTGGAGGTGACTGGACAAGCTGTGTGTGACTGGTTACTCTGCTTAGTGCTGCTCAGGATGAACTTATTTTTTTCTGAAAATGACAGCACAAGTACCATGGAGGGAAACATATATATTTCCAGTTGCTTCAATTCAAGCTGTCACAATTTTGTATCTAAATACACCTGACAAAAAGCTATGGACAATTACATTATCTCTTGTTCCGGTTTTTCCTTCTTTGGAGACATTCAAAACCCACCTGCACACGTTTCTGTGCGATCTACTGTAGGTGATCCTGCTCTGGCAGGGGGGCTGGACTAGATGATCTTTTGAGGTCACTTCCAACCCCTAACATTCTGTGATTCTGTGATTCATTTAAGAAGGAAACAAGCCACTTGATGTGAAGTCGTAGCTGTAAAGCAAGTGAAAGGACAAGTTTATTTTTTAAGCAATGTCTTTCATGGAGACAAAGAGGACTGGACCTCTTACAGGAAGGTAAGCTATGAGGGCAGGGTGTTCCTTTCACTTTCTGAGGGGCATTGCTTTTTGTCTACGAGAAGAGGTTAGCCCTAAAGGAGCAAGTAAGTGAAAAAGGACACCCAGAGCCTGATTCTGCCTTGCTCTGCACGTTATATAGTTCTTTACAGATGTTAAAAGTAACTGAGTCAGAGGA